AACGCTGGCCTATATTAGAGAGATCCCCCTGAGCAACGTCACCACCTTTTTCACTGTAATAGGCTGGTTGGCGGCTCAGGTGGATTGATCTCTCTAATGGGAGGATGTACAAGGGCCCCAATGGGGCCTAAGTGCTGTAGCTTTGCTACCCTCCCCACAATTCCAGACTCCAGACTCCATTAGGTATTCCATTTTTTCTGATACATTTTGATAACTTCAAGCAGCTATAACTTTGTTAATGAAACACCCTATATTTTTTTAGTCTGTCGTATACATTGAAATTGCCTTTCAAGCCATATAAACATTGTTAGGTTTGCCGTTACTACTTTTAGAAATATGCAATAATTAAATTAACTTGACATTTGTTCCATTAGATGGGTTTATCTTAGTTTAGACTTAGGAAGAAAATGTGACCGAAAATGTAGCAAATAAATCTTCTTCTAACTTCTAACTTTCATCATAAACAATCGGTATTTGTTAATTCTGTATAGGTTTTACACAGAGTAAGGTTTTAAGATTGTCCACTAATTGTCTTCATGTATTTCGTGAAGGTCTTCCTTTTTCTGGATATCGAGCAGGAAATTCTCTACATGCTCTTGAAATTACTTTGCCACATTGTCCATAAATAACAAACATTAAAATAATTCTCATTATCCCCAGGTATTTTTAATAAAATTTTCGGTAAAAACTATTACAGGCGCAACAATAATTTGACAACTTACTTGACAAATGTGAAGTTATTTTAATTGTTTTTGGAATGTTTTTGGTCATGGCCAATTTGATAATAGGTGATATGACAAAATCTCTTAGAGACACTTGCATCTGTGTTTTTTTCTTTAAAAATTAATATCTAAAAATTTATAACTCCTAGGTACAGGGAATATTTAATAAAGTAACCCTCTTTCACATAGAATCCGAAAAAGTAATAATAATAGAGTGTCCCATTTAAAATAAGAAAGTTAATGTCAACTTCCGGTATAACCGGAAGTGCCGTAAAGTTAAAAATATTTTAGCTGTGTGAGCCCTACTGCCTTTGCTAGGTTGCCATATTTTCAGATTTATCGGATCAGTACTTTCCGAGATATTTCCTGTATATTGAGAAATATGTAATTATGCAGAAAAGCAATATACAAGGTGTCCCGTATCGTTATGTTCAAATTTTGGGATCGTAAAGTACCTACAATTCTTTTCAAGTAAAAAGAATGCCTATGAATATTATTTGAAGATAATAATAAAAATGAAGTTCGTAAAGTAAAATGAATAATGAAATAAAATGAAATACTGAACCTCTAAAATAAAATAAACCAAAATAAAATAAATAAAAAGTTATTCAGATTTCTGTGATTTCTTCTTTGAATTAAGAATTATTGACAGACACAGTGGTCATAAGTTTCAGTGCAGACACCAGCTTTTTATTAAGTGCAAACGTTTTCTTTATCAAAATGTCTTACGGAATGCGGACTGCGTGATTATTTTTTCGACTGGGGAGTGAATGTACCAGCAGACTTGGATTAACAACTATTAGATACTGTTGTAAGAAATCCAACTATCAGTGTACGTCGAATCTCTAGACAACTTGGAGTGCCGCGAAAGACTGTTTGGCGAATTTTAAAACTTGACGGGTTACATCCGTATCATTATCGTAAGGGGCAAGGTTTGCTTGAGGCAGACCAATATGCTCGTCTAGTTTCTTCTACCTGGATATTAAGACAGTCACGGCTTAATTTTCATTTTTGCAGAATAGTCCTCTGGACAGATGAAGCTACTACATTCACAAGGAGTGGTGTTACAAATCTGAGAAACCTGCATAAGTGGGCATCAGAAAATCTCAAAGCTATACCACAGACAAAATAGCTATCGCCTCACACCGCTACTGGAATAGGTCAACACTTTTAGACTTCCGAGTTTCCGATAGAATACACCACCAGCAGAATTTTAAGAAGAATCAAATGTAGCCGTCCGCATTCCTACGCGTATCCTAACAACATATAAACAATAATTTTAATTAATTATGTAACAAGGCTAACAAAACTCTGCATCCTTTCTAGGTTGTCAATTTCCAGCATTTAAAGCGCGGTCTGAGGCTATACGCACATCTAGGATACAAGAATTTTCTGTTAACATTTGGGCTGCCCTAATCGATGGCTTGTTGATGTCGTTATTCTTGCGAGGTTATATTCGGGCAATTCCTTATTGGCGAACTGCAACGACTTTTAGAGGATGGGACACACCACATTTCGGAATTACTGTCCGAAATTGGGTTAGCGCCAATTACCAAGATGGACTGGTCGAGATGGTCCTGTTGTCTGGTCATCTAGATTACCCGATCGCGATTCCCTTGATTTTTGTTTATGGGAAGCACATGAAAGATTTAGTGTACGCGCAAGTTTCAAATACAAGAGAGGAATTATTGGAGCGTATGCAGCAGACTGCCGAACAAATACGACAAAACCAAATACTGATAACTACGTCATCTGTTGGCCTACAGGTACAAGCCTGCATTCAACGAGGAGGTAGACGTTTTGAAAATATTATTAACCGACTTTTTCTGAAATAAAATCATGTTTTGTTTACTTTAAGAAAGAATTTATTATCTGCCAATAATTCATAGGCGTGTACCTTTGAAACAAATAAATATGGATGTACAGGGTGTTTCAGGATTAAGTCGACGAACTTTGAGAAGATATTCCTCATAAAAAAATAAGAAAAAAATCAAGTATAATTTTTTTTCCGGAGACGCTTCATTTTCGAAATATAGGGCGTTATAGATTTTTAAAAAAATTGGAAATTTTTAAATAACTTCTAAATGAAGAGGGCTATTTAAGCCAAATTTGGCATGACACATCTTCTTATAAGATACCATTTTTCCATAGAAGTAGAAGTCCCGCAAACAACCAGTGGCGGAGTTATGGGGACTCAGACTCATTAAATTATAAAAAAATTAATGCGGCCCTACTGAAAATAAAAAATGATACCGTTTTTAGATAGAACAGTTTGCTATTGACAAAAAGTATACATTCACTTTTTTTCCTAACTCTTATAGTTTCATGGCAAAATTGATTTTTCGGAAGGGTGCTTCTGGATTCTGTCGATAAACTTTAAAATGAACCTCAATAAAAATTTTCGAGTAGGCTGCTGTCAAGCAATGTTAATTTGTCGTTTTAAATGTTATTTTGCGAATTGTTGCATAAATTATCGATTAGATAAAGCGTTCAAACTAATAATAAAAATAAGTTTAATAATGCCGTCCATATTTTCGAACAATGAATATGCTGACATGGTCTTTGTATATGGTTTTTGTGATGGAAATGCCACGGCGGCTCGCCGTGAATATGCAGTAAAATTTCCTCATCGCAGACTACCAGCAAAGGAAACATTTCTTCAGTCTTCTCAGACAAACTGGGTCTTTCGGTATTCCAACTTATGCTGATGGACATTTTGCTCCACTTCAGGACGAAGTAAGATCGAATACTGTTTTAAACCATTTCGATGAAAATCCATCCACGAGTGTCAGAAGATCTAGCTATGAGCTAAGTATTTCGTCAAGTTCCATTTGGAGGAGTCTTTGGGCTGATGGACGCTATGAGTACCATATCCAGCGTGTGCAACATTTATTGCCTCAGGACATACGATGCAGGCGCATGTTTTGTGACTGGATGTTAAACCAAACCGAGAATGATGATCAGTTTACGCAAAAAGTAATATGACAGATGAGACAACATTTACTCGAAGGGGAATTTTAAACCAAAGGAACAACCATATTTGGTCCTACGAGAATCCACGGGCGGTAAGGGAACATATTTTTCAACATGAATTCCAATGTAACGTATGGTTGGGTATGTTGGACAACACTATAGTTGGTCCCTACTTCCTTCCGCATCAGTTAAATGCTGACATCTTTACCGAGTTCCTTGAAAATGGTTTTCAAGATCTGTTAGAAGACGTTCCGCTTAATACTCGAATGAACAGTTGGTTTCAACTAGATGGTTGTCCTGCTCATTTTGGTAGAGGTCCTAGGGAACGATTAAACATTAATTATCCCAGGAGATGGATTGGTCGTGGAGGACCCGCAGCGTGGACCGCACGTTCACCGGACTTGACACCGATGGATTATTTCGTTTGGGGTGCTGTTAAACAAAAAGTCTACGTGGTGTCAGTTGATACCCTAGAAGGTCTAAGACAGCGAATAGTCCAAGTGTGTCGAGAATTAACTCCAATTCATAATTAGAAGATGTCGTGCTTGTCTATAGTCCGGAGGCGCCCATTTTGAACAAAATATTTTTTAAATTATTCCATTTTTTATTCAGTTTCAATTCAATTTTTTTTAATCTTTAACGCCCTAACGCCGAAAAAATGAAGCGTCTGGAAAAAAATTATACTTGATTTTTTCTTATTTTTTTATGGGGAACATCTCCCCAAAGTTTGTCGACTTAATCCTGAAACACCCTGTATGAGTTTTGTGTTTTTTTTTTACTTGAAAAGAAGTGTACTTTAGGCTCCCACAATTTGAATATAACGATGCGGGGCGCCTTGTATAAATTTCGTATTTTTTTTCTAGAATTAATTTCAACGAAAAAATTCTGCCTCACCCTCGTACATTACCAGGATATGCAACAGTAGCGTAAAACAACGATTTGCATTTCAACGGCATCGGCATCCGAGAAACGATTTGTTCTTCTTCTGATGTAATTCGCCACCACAAAGCCAAAAAAACATAATTATATAACAGTCAGCCGCAATAAATGCAAACCGGCCCCACTTCTTCGCCGACCCGCTAAAAAATGCGTTTATAAGTAGACACTATTCCCCAGCGCGTAGTATAATAAGAGCAAACGCCACACAACAGAGACCGACCACGACAAATCGCGTCATTAAATTGCACTTTCCTCGAAGTGAAAATATATCTCATCTCTCGCATTATCTACCCCAGAGGGCTCCGGGTTCTGTTTGGCCCGCTATAAATCCGATAAGGGTGGTATTTTATTAAGAGGTGCCGTAAACATGTGTAGAACGGTGGGTGCGTTTTTCTTCCTGGGCTTAGGGGCTGCTGTCCTCTGCGTGCCGCTCAAAGACAAATTGATGGTCGACTTGGGAGGCGACACCGCCGTCGTGGAGTCCACCGTGAGGGAGGCGAGGCAAGCGCCGGACCACATCGAGGAACTTCTCCAGCCAGGTGAGTCGCAGTGGCGTGTTGGGGGGCGGGGGATGGGGCGGCAAAATACGTCTTGTTTGGGTTTTGGTGAAGGGCACGCTTTTTTATTTCATACATTCAATGTGAAGTGTATTTTCTAATAGTTTATTTTATTTGTAGCAATATTTAACGTTAAATGCATAATATTCCTCGAAAACACAAGTACGGGATATTAAACCGCAGGGGTTATATAAATATTGGTCCGCAAATCGATAGTTTTGAGACATGGGGTGTTCAAATTTAAAAATAAATTTATCTCTAGGAAATGGTTTGCTACAGAAAGATGAAACTTTGTCTAATTGAAGCTAAAAATCCATTTAGTTGTAACTAAGTGTATAGTCCGTACAATATTTGTTGATATAGAATTTCAAGAAAAGAATAAGTCAATAAAGTTCTTTATCGGAACTACTGTAACAATTTATCGCGACAGGGGCGTACCTTTAAATTTTCAGCGTTATTTTCAGAATATTAAAATATACAGGACGTGTACATAAAACCAGTACTACATTCCTTAGAAAATTTTAATAGGGGTCTTTCATATAAATTTTTTTAATTCGAGCCTCCCTTAGAAAGTTACAGTCCATTGAAGGAGGACGGTGTTAACTGTTTTTTTTTTCAATTTTTTTGTACTCACTGATGCAAAATCCTGTATATAAGGTAAATTTATATAATGTAGATTTTTTGGATTGAAATGTATTTTTATTTCTTTAAAGTACAGTAGAGTACAAATTACACACAGGGTGGTCCGAATTTTATGCAGGAAACTTCGAGGGTAGATATTCTCTTTAAAATAATATGTGTTTGCCTTATAAACATAGGTCTGGAATAGCCCCGTTTTAGAGAAACAGGGTGTTGAGGTTTTAAAAAAAAATTGATTTTTTGTTTATATCGCACACTACCCCACAGGTGGTGTAGAAAGGAGTGTAAATAATTTTGTTGATGTGCTTACAAATTGCACTTACTTTTAAACATAAACAAATATTCTTGTAATATTATCGTTAGAAGTGTCTGCCACAAGGGGATTGTAGTGGTATGAATAACTTGAGAACGGTGAATCTTAGGAAAAAAATTAAAGTCACCATTTTTACGTATTTTGTGCATTAAAATATAAATCAGTTACAATGGCATGTAAAAAATGCAGTGGCGTAGGTTTTTTTGTAAAAAAGGGGGTGACCCCTGTCCAGTTGTACACCACTGGATGAACCTTTAAAGCTCATATTTCAGGGAATATAAGGCCTACTTATCATACATTATATGTACCAAATTTTATTGAGATCGGTTAATAGATTCCGGAGATATAAACAAAAAATCATCAAAATCAACTTCAACACCCTGTATCTCTAAAACGGTGCCGTTCAAGACCTATGTTTATAAGGCAAACACATATTATTTTAAAGAGATCTATATGCCCTTGAAGTTTCCTGCATAAAATTCGAACCATCCTGTATAATAAATAAATAATAAACTAGAAATATAATACAATTATAAACGTGCTGATACAAAAACGAAATACAACCTCGAGTGTCGAATGCGTCGAATGCGAATGGAAAGAAAGTGATGCAGGGGTCTTCTTGGAATTCTATCTTAACAAATATCGTACGGACTGTACCAGTGGCGGATATATCGCTACTTCTACATCCATATGGCGTTTCCAAGAAAAAAGATTTTTTATTTTATTCAAATTTCGAACCATTTTCGATTTATTACTTTTTTTTATTTTTATTGATGTTCAGATGATTTTTTTAACGAAATGCATAATTTCTACGCCATTGATTGTTTCGGAATTGTCATGATGGGTTTTTTCTAACATAGTTCTAAAATTATTTTGTTTTATGGAATATTTGGCAACGTTAATAAAAGAAAATAATAAAAAATGAAGAATTATTTGATTTTTGAATAAAACGAAAAATATCCTTTTTCTTGAAAATACCACAAAGATGTACAGATAGAATGGTCCAAGATTCATAATTCCCCCTCAAACAACTTCATATTTTAGAAAGGTAGTTTTTTTTTATTTCAACACCTTATATCTCGCAAATTATTGATTTGTTGACATGTTTGCTTTGAAAAAACTCAAAATATCACTCCTTAAAGTTTGTATACTTACTTGATTAACACCCATTATGTAAGAGTAAGTTAAGAACACACATAAATATTTACTGAAACTTACAGAAATAAAAAATTAAAAAAGGATTGAAATTAAATGTGATTGTTAATTAGTTTTTTCGGAGATTTTCTTAGTTATGGGATACTAATAGTATTCAGGGGTTAAAATGGTTCTCTGCCCTTTTGAGTAATGTAACAAAATTTTCCTCCTTGGCTTCAAGTACTGGCAGGGGTTCTTTTATAAATTATGAAATAAGACAACTGGCAGTTCTACCCTGCTAAGTTGGAAGGTCGTAAATTATATTTTCTTCGTTTTTTGTTAAGAACATGTTACGATTGTTTTCAATATCATCCATATTATCAGAGATTCACAATGTTCTAGTTTCTTAACTAGAAATAAACTCTTGTTCATTTTAATAACTCGTCTTCTATCTCTGTTATTTTGTAAATATTTAAACAAAAAAAAACAGACTGCATGAAAAACTATAATGATCAAAAGCCGTTTAAAATTAAAACTCCTCTATAGACTGATTATAAATCAATTAAAATGCAGATATGACAAATTTACTTGTTTCGGTTCTTAAACAATTGCAAAAAATAACTAAAATAAAAACGAAGGAACATCGACAAAATATAATGGTGTTTTTTGTTCTTATATATCCCATATCAAATACGGAAAAGATATACAGTGTGTTTTAAATTTAATTCATTAGCTATGCAAGGTATATTGATTATTATACAAGATAGAGGGCATGCAGAACATTGCTTTTTTGTACAGTACATTTCATTTTGGATATTACGCTCGAATATTATTATTGAAAATTGGAAGGATTCTTTTGGTCTAAACAATGTTTTTTCGATAAAATTTTGATATTTCAGATGAAAAACTAACAAGTTGACACTATCTTACAAATTTTTATAAGTATTTTTTAGAATTCAATTTGTTTTAAAGCTCTAACTGCTTTGGAATTACAAATCTAAGTTGCATTTTTTTCAAATCGAACCCACAATTGATCATGACTTTTCTAAAAAGAAGGTATTTCCAAAAATACGTATATTGGTTGTCACAACAAAATATATCATAAATCAATAGACAAAAAAATAATGTGTGATGCACTATATTCAATCTTTTATTTGTATAAGTATTATAATGTGATATACCTCTTCACTTATAATCGAATTATAACAATATCAAATTCCTATAGAAATCGGGTTTTTGAATGTATCTAATTATATAATCTGACTTTTTTTCATATCCTTATTTAGTGAGGAGATTAATAAACGTTGATTTGTTTAGACTTGATAGGACTTTTTATTGCGAATTATTAAAAAAAAATCAGCAATAACTAAAATCTGCGTAAATATTAGTATAAATTATCTAGCGGAATAATTATTCGGATCTCCTTCAAGTTTCGTTTATAATAGCAGTCGTACAACTTCAATGAATATTAATATACATCCAAATTTCCGCAGACGCCAGAAAATATAAATTTTCGTTTTACTCGGGAAACCGAAGTACATTTCTCTTTATTCACGGATTTAATTGATATTAATTGCGTCTATCAATTTTCGGTTTACCGTCGAAATATCCCCACGAATTGTAGAAAATACAAATCTGCGATTATTAAATATTTCTATTAAATCAGTAAATAATAAATAAACTCAAAAAATATTACCAAGAATTTTGGAACTTCGAGAAGTTCAATAATATTACTAAAAAGTTGGGTAAATAATTAGAAATAAATACAAAAGTGGTAATTGTTGACAATGCATTTCACTGAATTTGGTATCGGAAGTATGAGGAAGTTCCAAACTAAGATTTTTTTACTCATAAAAATTTTATTTTAATGGTTATTTTGATGGGTAATATAAAATTACATTATACTCGTGCAAATAAAGTTACATAAAGCATGTAATTTTATACTTTTTGTGTAATATATTCAGAATGTAAATTTATACAAGTAAATTAACGAAATCAATGAGAACTGTAACTATACAGGGTGTTACAAATTAGTAGGACAAGAAATTAATCAACATATTCTTTGGACTAAAATAATGGGACTTTTCTTATGCCACTTTTCATTTCAGAGACCCATTTTCAAAATACAGGGTGTCAAATTTAACACATATTTTGATATGAAGTCGGCTTAGTTTTTGTGTAATTTTGGTTTAAAATATCAAAGCGAGAAATCTCACAAGAGTGAAACAAATAAAATAAACCGCCGCTTTATCTAGAAAAAAATATTCGGAAAGCATAGGTATACTAAAAAAAATAGGAGGTCCATGGGTACTGCAACCCCCCTCCTCACCGTTCACCCTTTGATATTTTAAACCAAAATTACACAAAAAGTGTGCCGACTTAAGATCATAATATGTGCTAAATTTCAAATAAATATCTCTACAATCACCGGAGTTATCAATAAAAATAATTTTATAAATTTTAATTTTGAAACCCTGTATTTTGAAAATGAGGCTCCGAATTGAAAAGTGACAATAAAAAAGTCCCAGTATTTTAGTCCAAAGAATATATGGTTAACGGGTTGACCTACTGATTTGTAACACCCTGTATATAAAACAATCTCTGTAAAAAATTATTTAAATAACAAAGTATATATTTAATTTTATACGTCATTTTTTTAGTGACGTCTTTATCATTCAATGTTTAAATTAAAAAATGAGCTACTAAATACATGTTCATAACAACATTTTATTACCGAAAATTACATGTAAAGCTTCTTAATATGCAAGAATTGTTCTTGAAAATGATTACCTCCAGCTAGGATGTAAGAATCCAATCTTATCCTCGTTGACTATGGAATTCTTTAAAAAGTTACACCCAGCAATTATCTTATTTTTTTAAATCTTCCACATTTTCC